AAATCTATGGTAGGTCTTACTAAAACACCTTTATAATTAAATTTATGCCAGTAACCTATGGGTGAGTCATGAAGCCTCCATGTATAACTGAGAAAGCGCAGGGTGATAAAAGCCAGTCTCACCATGTTCAACAGTCTACACCAACTTCCTTGGTTATGTCTTAATGTTTCTTAATAAAAGCCCATATTTTAAAACATTTTCTTTTTAACCCCTTATTTCCTTCTTAGACTTCATGAGTAACAGCTATGCCATTTGGGGCATCTGAATTTTGTGTCGTTGGGCTTTGAATTAGGTCATTAGTCTTCCCTTGGCAGTGTGCAGGCAGTGACAGCTCACTCCCTGTCCCTGCTGGAGTCCCCGGAATGACTGTGGCCCGTGAGACCTCCCTGGGGATTATTTTGAGATGGAAAATCTCAGCCTCAACTGGAGTTTAACAACAGTAAGGAAAAATGAAAGAAATGCAACTTTCCAGAACCAAGTTCACCAGTTCACCAAAGCTCTGTGATTTAAATTATATGTATCACCATCTTCTGGAATTGGATTCTCCACACATGTCCTTCTAAGAAAAGAAATCAGAGAAAATTCAGCAACATTGGATGGTGGGTATGTTTCAGAGTAGGTGACAAGTGGCATGGCTTGGTTCTAAAGCCAAAGTTAGTGCAGGAAAAGTTTTTTTGATGATTTTTTTTAAAATACTTTTTTTTTGTTCCTGGCCTGGTGTATTGTAAATATTTTTCTCATCCAGAAAGGATTTTGCTCATATCAACAAGATCCTCAAGTTTTTTGTTCATTTTAACTTTACTAACTTTTGAATGTTTCTAGATCATTTTGATGATTTAGAGAATTTTCGAGAAGAACTGTACATGGGTACGTGTGCAATATGGGAAAAGTGTGAACTGTACTGTACACGCCCATCTGGGGCGAATCTTTGTTCCACCTGGATCTCTTAACCAGCTTGAGTATTCTTGAAACTTGCACAAATTTTATTTGTTTTTCCTATCACTTCTACATGGGAAAGGCAGTGGATATAAACGTTGCTTGTGTGTAATTATACTCCCTGATCGCATGTCCTTCAGCACACTTAGCTGTAAGTTGTTCGAATCACAGAGAGAATAAAATTGGCAGCAGAAGCCCTTTGGGGGTATCTTTTGCTGTCTTTTGAATACCTCTTTCTTCTTCAGCATGGCGTAGGTGTTCAAAAAGAAGCATTGCAGCACCGTCTTTTCTGGCCTTTTGTGCACCAGGCAGTGTGGTGGTCATCTGACCTTCCTCTTTTGTGCCTTACTTCGACAGTCTCTTTTCCACAGTTTCTATAGCAACATTAAATCAAATGATGCCATTCTTTGGATGAGAGCCCTGCAATAGTTTCCCATCTCAGAACCAATCCAAAAGCATCACTACTGCCTTACCAGTAGGGTTAGCACAAAATTTATCATCCAGGCGGATTCTTTCGATTGTGAAAGGAGCCTTAAGAGTCATTATGGCAGACCAGGTGTAAACCAGGGTCATCCCGGCATGGCAGAAACCAGTGGCTTACTCAGAGGGTTTGTGCGAACCGGCCAGCCGTTTCTCATGTTCTGTCTGTCTGTCTTCTCTGTCCCCATTGGATGCTTTTCAAGAATAAAGGCGTGCCCCAGCTGCCTGGACTATTCTTTCCATGAGATAGCTGTATGCCTTGTTCTTTTTATTTAATCCATGTCTCTACTCAAATCTCACCTATCAGAGCTTTACTGAGCCTCCTCAAAAGAGCATCCTCTTTCCCTGTTTATTCTTTCTTCACCCTGGCGGTGTGTTCCTTTGTAGTTCTCGTTACATGCTGTTGCTCTGTCTGTCTGTCTGTCGTCTATCTGTCCATCCATCTACCGTAGCTATTCTGTTTGCATCTTTGCCATGTGTTTGGTCATGTCTCCACCCCCTGTCCAGAGGTCAGACTCCATCGCGGATTAGCCTTGTTCTGCTTTTGCCTAATGTCTAGACTAGTATTTGTAGTACTGAGTCCTCCATGCTGAATGAAGACATGAGCTCACGTGTGGACGAAGTTGCCGATGAGAAGGCTGTGAATGCCAGGACCATAACAGACTCATTTTGGGTTATTTGTATTAGGGCTTTGTAATTTGTCTTGGTAAAGTCAAAAAACCAACACTCGTACCAGGACAAAAAGCCTGGTACTCCATGTGGAAGAAAAGGGGGCCCCCTCTTTGTGTATATACAGCAGGGAAGGAACTGTCTGCTCAGCATACCCAGAGAGAGCTGAAAACCACCACACAGAAAGGCTCACAAATACCAGCTCTGTCTATTGCTTTAAGAACGCGCGATTTGAAACTCCATCAAAATCAGCCATAGCTTCATGATTCCCCATAGAGGACATTCCACTGAAATTCAGTTTATATAAAAGCAGCCATTTCCCAGAGGGATGAACAGAGAAGGTGTAGCCACCTCTGCCAGGCCGCCTCTAACCTCCCAAGGCAGGAGAGTGCCTGTGAGGGTCTCTCTTGGTCTGGCTTGTTTTGCGTGTGATGATGCAGAGTAGAAACAAGCTGTAACTCAAAGGCTTTTACAACTTTAATATGAATAAAATACACCTGAGCGGAGTGTAGCGCTCTCTGTAGCTCAATGTATTTCTTACTAACTCTTCTCCAGACGTGTGCTGGAGTTAATGACAGGCTGCTCACTAGGCATTATTCTAGATGAAGGCCACAGCTTTTGCAGAAAAGAGACCTTGATGGCAGGGGTTTCTGTGAGAGAACTGAGTTACTGCGGGGGTGGGGTTGAAAGAAAGCAAAAAAGGAAAATGGTAACTATTCAGGTCTTTGCCAAGATTTAGTGTGTTTGCTTTTGTTTGTCTGTTTGCTTGTTTTCCCAAGACAGGGCTTCTCTGTGTAGCCCTAGCCATCCTGAACTCGCTCTATAGATCAAGCCGGCCTCAAATGCACAGAGATCCACCTGCCTCTGCCTCTGCCTCTGCCTCTGCCTCTGCCTCTGCCTCTGGAGTGCTGGGATTAAAAGTGTGCACCGCCACCACCGCCTAGCTCTTTTGCAAGTTTTAAAGCCAAGAATCTGAGTAAGAATTAGTAATGCATGCATGCATGCATACAATTTGACTTAATGCTCACGTCCACCAAAGCAGAGAACATTTTTTTTTCATGAAATCCTCTGGACCTGCTCCATCTAATTAAGAAAAAGGTCATCCGCACACAAAGTATGTTGCTGAGTAGCTGGATTAATCTTTTAACAAAGTCCTATTTCTAATTCCCCTTGCCCTTAAACCTTGGATTTAACTAGCCTTTTGGCCCTGTGCTCTTCTTTCCTTCCCTCCCTCCTTTCTGTCTAACTGGCTGCCATTTTCCAATTCCTGTGCTGTCCTGTACCCCTGACACACTCTTCCATCCTGAGAGAAGCTTTGTGAATGGGGCGGCTAATTTAGCCATGGTCTTTGTAGCCTGCTGCCCCAAATTCCCTTCCACACTCGAGGGCCTTTATGCAACTTGTGAGCCGTGCAGTTTCCAGTCCCGGGGTTAACTTAGGGTGAAAGTATGCTGTTTGCGTGCAGGTTGATGTTTGCCGTTCTGGTTGGCAAGACGGATACGGACTTAAGCAATACCCACTGTGCACTTAGTTTAGGATATGGCCATCCTGGATGTTGGTTGTTAGGGCCGAAAGCTGGTTGCAATTTAATTGTTTTGTTTGTACAGCCCAATTACATACTGGTTCAGTGGAAGACACTGTCTTTAATATTCCAAATTGTTTCCCCCCCACACACACAAGCTCTTCAGCCCTGTCAAAAAATAAAGCCACTCTGAACATTTCCCACACTGTCAAGTATCTTCCATCTGCTGGCCAGAGCTGGCTCCTGCTGCTCCCTTCACGGTGTCCGGTGAAGTTTGTTCAGTCTAGGAAAGGGGATCTTGGTGTGGTTCCCGTTTCATCGGTACAGCAGGCAGACAGTGAGCACAGAAGCCCTGGGTCCAGGGCGTACGGTTTGCACAGCAACTATGGCGTGCTCTCAGAATGAACAGCGGCCCCACGTAAACATGTATGCATATTCGCACACATTTCAGCTCAAGAATATTTTTATAAACCGTAGCAAAAGAAAGCAATAGCTCTTACTCAGACCTCTGAGCCTCAGCCCCGAGTCTAACCTGCTTTCACACAAAGCCAAGGGAGGGAGCTTACACAGGGAGCAGGTTGCTTTGGCTCTGTTTGTGGCTCTGTCCCCCGTTTTGTCTTTCACCCCAGAGATCTCCAGTGGTTGCAGCTGCTTTGGAATTAGTGTCTCTGATGTGTTTGCCTCTGACCTCTGACCTCCGACCTAAACTTCAGTGTTATTTTCAGCTGTTCTTTGACGGGGATCCAACAGCTGCTGCTTAATACCAGAGACAGCTTCTGACACAAGCAGAGCTTCTGGCGGAAGGATTAATCTGGGAGCCTGACTCTGATTTAAAGCTGGCTGCAACTTCTTTTGCTCCAGGTAGAAATGAGGATTTAAAAAAAAAAAAAAAGAAGAAAGTAACAAAATGTTCATCTTCAAACAAACAAGCAAAAGCACATCTCTTGCTACAGTTAAAAGGTAACAACAAAGTACTGAGCTTCCTATTTGCTGATTGCTAGCTGAGCTTGAAAATGTTGCTCAGAAAACCATCATGAAGAAATACTGGCAAGATGTGTATTTATTAATAAATGCTGGGTGAAATGTCTTAAAATACCCCTAAGAAGTTCTTAGAAAATGTGACCATTCCATGAACTTCATTTGGCAAAGTTCATTAAGTTTTAGAAAAACAGATTAATCTAAAAATATTTTTGATCAACTTTGTGACTTAACCCCCCCCAACAAAAAGGATCATTTTTGGAAGTTTTCTTTATATGAATTAGACTTGAAAAGATTGATATTCAGGTCACCGACTTTCTGGTTTCAAAGTCCACAGTTAACAACTGTTTAGTTTCAATGGCTAAACTAATTTGGGCTGTCAGGATGTATTTTTTTTTTTTTTCCATTAGCTATCGGACATCAGCTGATAGGCAGAGAGCTCAAGGCTGTCCCTCAAGTTACAGATAATGGCAAAAATAACAGGCACTTACTGTTACCATACTAGGGGTGTGGCTGGCTCCTCTCTCTCTCTCTCTCTCTCTCTCTCCCGCCCCTCCCTCTCGATAAGCTCAATGGGGCTGTCTATTTTTAACTTCCTGTTCTTTCCTTTTGGCTGGGCAATCACTGTGAGCCGAGAGCATTCCCCGAATGAGTCCGGTAGCCCTGTGGATGCCTTCTAACATGACCCACAGACACGCATCCCTATCAACGCTGCCTCAGGTTTAAACCTTCCTTCTAAAGTGCCATGTCCTGCAAAGAAAGTCCCCATGCGGGTGTTTCCACCACCACCATCAGCTCTGTAGCTGTGCAAGCTGGGAACTCCAAAATCGTGATAGCCCTTGTCAAGGTAAGCACACAGCTTTCTTTTCTCTGTGTGGCTGTGGCGGGGGGAGGGGGGCTCTTTGTGGTGTGCTGAGAGTCCTAAAAGATAATGCACATGTTCACAGGACACAACACAGAACAGATACTAAATAATAAGTGATTTTAATCCCTTAAATCAGTGTCAGAGGACTGGCAAGTTTCAACAAGTTGCCAGTTTGCTTTTCAGCATACTAAGTATCTACAACGACTTAAAACAAACTTTACAGTGTACTTTCAGTTTGGCCCTTAAAGGCAAGGCACATGTCACAGAGGCTCTGGAACGTCAGGTGAAGAGTCGGGTGGGCCAGGGCAGTCTGTTATTTTTGCGTGGATGTGATGGAGGGGGCAGGTCAGAGGGGGCACTGCCTTGGCAGGACAGAGAAGTGGAAACACTGAGAGGCTCTTGCCAGTGCCTCCCAGAACTGTTCCCACTGGCACAGGCAGCGTTAAATACTTCTCCACTGTAGGGTGATGGAGACCCTGCCACAGGCTGTATATCAAATTGACTCTTAAGATCAGGAACATGCAGCCACTTGGGGCTTAACTGTATGTTTTGTGTTTAGCTGTGTGCAAGATGTCCACACATCTTTGGGGTGTGGAAGACTTCCATCATTTTGTCCCCTTTGACTGAAATCGTGCAAGAGCCTCTGAAATATAAGTTTGCTCTTTAGACAATTTGCCACATAAAGAATTCATGTTTAATGGATGCTAACCTGGCTGAAAAGGGGAGAAAAACTGGCGACGAGGCCCATTTAATTTAATTGCTGCAAATTTTATAGTAGTATGAAAAATTTGTAGAAGGAAAACAGAATTTGACGTTGAGCAGTGGAATGCAGGGTTCTGCTTAAGGCCAAGTTCCCAGTGCTGGGAGCTTCCTGCACAAATGCAAGACCTCAGGGACTCCCCACCCTCTTCTCTGCAGAGGTGTGACTTCTCTCTGCAGAGGTGTGACTCCCCACCCTCTCTTCTATAGAGGTGTGACTCCCCTCCCTCTCCTCTGCAGAGGTATGACTCCCTGTCCTCTCCTCTGCAGAGGTGTGACTCCCTGCCCTCTCCTCTACAGAGGTGTGGCTGGGTATGCCAGGGCATCAAAGCTGTACCAATGAAAACTGATGGATTGCACACGATTTAATGATGCTTTTGGCAACTCATAGATTCCAGCAGGGAGGAACAGGAGACAAATCTATGATTTTTTTTTAAGTCAACATCACTTTTCCTCAAGCTTAAGATACTCTTTGAGTAGAGGAGTCATGGTGTTTAGGGAATGACCTGCAGGGTAGTCAGAGGTACAGAGAATACAAACTTTATACATTGTATGGGAAAGTCTTTTTAACCAGATTCTGTCTCTCAGAATGGCCATTCATGGTCCTCTCTCCGGCTCCCTTACCCTGTAGCCATCTCCAAATGAAACGAGCTTTAGCTTCTTCAGGGAGCAAAGACCATGTTGACGGAGGAGAAATGCTGAGGCCCGTGAAGGTCCTACCTCACTTTGCCTGTGTGAAGTGTCACTAATTGTCAACTGTCAAGAGTTGCTTTGTGTGAATGCACTCAGTGACTCAGAGATGGCGAAGAAGACATTATCTGAGGCACACATTTCTCACTCGAGAACTTGAATTCAGACCCATACTCCGTGAGAGAATTTGTTCTAAGAGTGAAAGAAGACAGAGCATGGCCTTGTGTTAGACCTATTGTGTCCAATGTGTTAGGGCATGTCTATGGGAGGAGGAAGTGTGCTTGGTGTAACTAGAAATTAAAATTTAAAAAAAATCGGAAAAAGGAGAAGGGCAAGAAAGGATAAACATCCATTTCACTTTTTTATTTTATTTTTTTAGTGTGGTGAATGGGTACAACTCCAGCTGACTGAGTCTCAGCCCAATCTTCTAGAAATAGGGAGCAGTCAAGATGAAACCAAGAAACTGCTTCGTGACCATGAGCTCCTCCTGGCCAAGCTTAAGGTAAGAGTCTCAGGTGTGAAGCAAAGGTAACCAAACCTACACAGGAAGGTGATGCCAAGCCTCACCTTGCTCCGGATCCCACTGCTGTGATGGGCTTCGGCAGTTTTAATCCAATGCCGATAGATAATGGCAAGGACGCTGCTGTTGCTAAGGATCATCATAGGCACAGGGAGGAGGCAACAAGGGCTGGAAAAAACCAGCTCAGTTGGTCCAGTGGTTGCTTTGCAAACATGAGGGCCTGGGTGGGATCCCTAGAGCTCATGGAAAAATTCCCGGCATGGTAGCACAGGAAATGGGAGGATCCCCAAAGATCAGCCAATTGGTAAACTACTTGCCATTGGGAGATGCTGTCTCAAAAGAGATGGGTGGTACTCCTGATGATGACGCCTGCGTTGTTCCCTGTCCTCCCCAAGAACACACACATAGACAGACAGGCAGACATCTACAGTAAAATAAGAAACAAGTTATATATATTTTTAAACTTGTCCTGATGTAATAGAAAATTGAGAGGGACAGTATTTTCACTGTGAAGAATTTAGTAATATCCCCACATTGACTGCCTCAGTTCAAAAAGCTGACCCTGTGGTTTTCATTCTATGTAACATCTGGCTGCCTTGGGTGGTAGCAGGCACAGGGGTGAGGGCAGCCCCACAACACTCTAAACTCAGGCAGTGTCTGTACAGGGAGCCAACAGAGAGAGAGAGAGAGAGAGAGAGAGAGAGAGAGAGAGAGAGAGAGAGAGAACAGAGAATAGATGGCACCCCTCCTCTGGATGGCATATGTCATGTACCACGAGGTTCCAGATCTTGGCGTTTCCTTCATGATCTGGGGGAATCTCTTAGAGGACCCTAACTGAAAGAGAAACATCTGTAACATTGCCATGACAACGACAGGCAGAGCGGTGGGATCCCACGCTGGCCTCCTCGGAACTGGGCAGTATGATGCAGCCACTCTCTGCATCGTGAGCCTCACCTGCAAGTGAATAGATGTCTTTGTGAGGATCAAAGAGGCTTGGTGAAGGCTCTGAGTGCTGAGATGGTCAGGATGTTCTGTGATGTTAGACTGGCTTTTTCGTGTCTCTAGGGCCACAGCACATACTTGGTGTCTAATTCAGAGGCAGGTCTAACCTGCGTCTAGTTTACAGACTGTAGGAAAAAAACTGACTGAGAGGGCGAGGGACGAGTCAGTCCTGAAGAAGAGCCTTGAGACTCTGATGTTCACTCCCTTGTGTGACAGCGCTTTGCTCTGGTGTCTGGGATCTGAGTTGTCACTCAAGGTAGCAAGCCCTGGCCATCAGGAAGTCTTGTGTGTATTGAAAAGCAACAGCCCCGAAACAAAGCGCCATTGTGATGGGAAAGCGCGCTGGACCAGGAACCCAAAGACCTGGCTTTTCCTTGTGTCCCAGTCTAAAGTAACTCAACAAACAATTCAACGTTTTCCTGTTGCCAAAGAAACCCTTCAACACATTCTTGAACCTATTGCTCTGTGAACCACAGAAACCAAATACTGTTCCAGGTCCACTCCTGAGATTTGCTTTCTTGTGGTCTGTGGGTCCCCCCTCTCCTTTCTGTACACCTGTCAACCGTTGTGGGAGCTGATCTGGACCTAAAACCACATTCCTTTCTCAGTTCCCACTAACTCACACTGCCTGGTATTTTCTGCTCTCTGATGAATCACAGACGGTGGCTCGCAGCAGATGGGGCCTCTGGGACTATGGGCTTTTCTTCTAGCCTATCTTTGAGAATACACTAGAAGGCACTGTTTCTCAGGTGGAACAATGTGGCCCTCCCCAGCTCCATGCTCTTACTTCTGTATTTGAGTCTATCCTGGGGCTCTGCTGGAAAAGGGGCTTCCGTTTAACAGGGTCTATCTGCTTACAGGACACTTAGGGCTCTGGATTATAAATGCCTGGTTCTTTTAAGCCAGACTTCAGGCTTTTTAAGCTATTTAAGTCTTCTGGACTTCAGGCTTTTTATCTGCAAGGTAAGGAGAGAGGAGATCAGATACTCAAGTCTGCTGGATTTTACCGTTGTGTGCCACGGAACCGGGAGTCATTTTCAACCTCCCTGCAAATGGATCTAAAACACAGGCTCGCGGGTGAAAACACACCCTGGCTTTACCTACGCTTCTAGTCACAGCCTCTGGATCTACCCAGCCCCATCTCATAGCCTTCCTTACCCATCTGTTGTCTGCTCTAAACCTAATCAGCTCGGCCCCCAAGGGGTTTAATTATCAGGTCTGTCCTTCAAACTGTACTGGGATTTAAAATTTTTATTTAATGTTTGTATAAAAGAGATGGGGGTGGGGAGTAATCAAGGAATTTGGAGTCTGTCTCAAATGTGCCAACTTAGAAATAATGGTAATTGAATCTCTCAACAGGACCCCAACTAATTTGCCACTTCCTTCTCTATCAGGGTTGTCACAGCTTAACCTGGGGCAGGAAATTGTTGGTCTCAAGTTAATTGTAATATGAGGTTTTCAAAGGAATAGGATGTTGGTAGTTCAGGAAGCCAATCCTATTTAATATCTAGTGTTCATTCTAGGCCTTTCTCAGTGTATAGAACCCTGCGGTGTGTTCCAATTAGAGAGAAAAATATTCTGGAAGGGGGTTCTTGGAGTCAAAAGTGGACGACTTTCTGGTTGATTGTGATACTTGCCCTTGCTAGGATAAGGGTATATGCTTGGAGAAGTAGGGCAATACCAGTTACCTTCACTGGCAGAAACAAAATCTGAGAAGACAAATGTAACGCCATCCAGAAGTGTGTGCTGTCTTTAAGGGAGAAAATGGCCCGATTATTATGCTAATGATGAATAGATCAGACTAATGTGAACATTTAATACGAAAGCCATTTTGTGCCTTCCCCTGAACGAATCTCCAACCTTCAAAATGAAGAATAAAGGGGAAATGCTGGGAACACACGGTTTTCCTAAGTGTTCCTAATGCTGGCGATGTCTGCGCCCCTAGGGATTTGATTTCGCCTTCAGCTATGTACTTAACCATCCCACTAGGGCATCCAGAGGGAAAAAAATCATTCCGGTTTCAGTGGTGAAAACAATCATGTGGAAATAGGTTTAAGTCCCAGTGGCTTCTGGGTTCCCACACTGTGCTAACTTCTTTCCAATGTGAAAGAAGACATCCAGGAAGGAGGAAGGGAGGACTTCACCCAGGCCAAGACCTGCCTGCGGCTGCCCTTGACTGTGTGCCCCCAGGTAGGCACAGAGTGGTTGGAGACAGAAATAAAGATGTGGAGGAGTCTTTGAGATGCTGCTTAGGGTGTTTCTGTCCTCAGAGTCTGTCTTTTAACTGCATCTCTAGTGACCAAAGGAGTTGGCTATGTGCCAAGATACCCTTGGGCATTCGCCCCTGGTTACCAGCATGTGACATTAGCCTTCATGGAGTAATGACCCTTCAGGGAGATTATAAACCACCTACTTTACCTCTTACTTGACTCTCAGAAGTCTAGTGGTTTCCTGCTTCAGATGCCATGTCTGGCCCAGTGTGGCTAATATTTATCCTATTTCTGACTGACTTAGAAACAGGCATGCTGTGGGTAGAACGTATGAATAGTAATGTCAAAATTCTCACATCAAAATTTGTCATAAACAAGAGAAAGTGTGAATGACTTCAATTAAGCTGCAGTATTTGCTCAAAATGCATTTAAATCATGTTTTATGCATCAAAATATAAGCACCATAAAGTTTTCTGTCTTAGCCACTTCTCTGTGTACAATTCAGTAGCACTGATTACATTCACATCATATAACCGTCAACTGTGTATGTTTTTAAAAAATTAATCACACCAAACAGAAACTCTATAGCTCCTAAGAACTCCCATTATTATCTCTACTTCCAGTGTTGTCTGCTTTCTCTATATATTTGCCTGTTCTAGACCCCACATATAAATGGAATAATATATTTGACTTTTTAATGCCCAGCTTGTTTTCTTATATAGTATTTGTTTGTATTTTGTACAAGAATCTCACTTTTTGAATAATGGATAACAAAAAATGAATGTATGATAACACAAATTGTAATGGTTGCATATCCCTTATCTGAAATGCTTGGACCAGAAATATTACAGCTTTTCAATTTCTTGAATTTCGGAATATTTGTATATGTACAATGAGATATCTTGAGCATTGAACCCTAGTAAATATACAAAATTCATTTATTTCAGATACACCTTATACATACAGAATAAAGACAAATTTGGTGTTTTCATTATGCCTGCATTTTGACTGCAGCCTATGGCCTGAGTTCAGGTATGGAATTTTCCATCCATTGTGACAGGGTGGTGCGCACAGGTTTTAGGTTCTGGAATAGTGTGTGTACTGGTTGGTTTTGTTGTCAACTTGACACAGACTAGAATCATCTGGAAAGAGAGAAGTACAACCAGGAAACCACCTCAATCACATAGACACATAGGCTTGTCTGTGGGCCTTTGTCTTGATTAATGACTGACGTGGGAGGGCCTAGCATGTGGGCGGGGCCCTTTCCTGGGAAGGTGGTTCTCGGATTCTAAGAAAAGCGGGATGAGCAAACCACGAGGAGCCAGTTGGTAAGAGGAGTCAGTTGCTAAGCAAGGCTCCTCTGTGGTCTCTCAATTACTTCCTGCCTCCAGCTCGTGCCTTGATTACTTGCCATGGCTTCCTTCAATTGCAGACGGTGACCAATAAGCCAAACAAAACCTTTCCTCCCCAAAGCTGCTTATGGTGTTTATCACAGTGACAGAAAGCAAACTAGTACTCTGTGTGTGTGTGTGTGTGTGTGTGCGCGCGCGCGCGCTTGCGTGTGTGTGCGTGCGTGCATGCGTGCGTGCGTGTGTATGTGCGCGCACCTGTGTGTGTATATTCATACATTCTGCGTGCACGTAGAAGCCCGAGGTTGAGATCAAGCGTCTTCCGCCAGTGCTCTCTGTGTTAGTTTTCAAACCGGGTCTCTCACTCGCCCGGGAGCTCAGATTTGCCAAGGATGATGGGCCAAGTGAGCCTCGGGGCCCA